TATTGTGCCCGTAAATACGGTCAAACACTGATGCACGTATTTTACGTGACGTGATATGTGAAATCAAAGCATGCAGTGCGAAAAGTCAGATATATGTGAAGATTAAATCAAAATAAGAAGTGACAATAAAACATTTTAATGTTGGCTGAAAGTTATCACCTCAGAGATGGCAAGCAACAACGGCTCCAGCGGTTCACTCTCCACACACGACTCAAACTATTTGAGTCAAACGGCTTTGGTTTCCGCTGTTTGAATTGCTGTGTATCTTGTAGCCCTTGGCAAATTAACAGTGACGAGGTAAATGATAGAAATGACTGATTCATGTTGGTTTCGTGGTCTGTTGCAACTAAGTAAGCTGATATCGAGATACTTGTACTTGACAATCCAACAAAAAGCACCCTGAATCATGCATACCAAACAGGTTGGCGGAGATGCTACTTCTTACTGCCTTGGTTGGCTTTTCAGTTGGCAGCTTTCTAGGATAAGTGATTTTAGCCATTAGGCATCACCCAATCACCTACATTGGTGATCGTTTTGAGCTATATTACCAAGTGACTAAGTGTCAGACGAAATCTCAATGTTTCTACAGGGAGCACACACATACTTATTCTTTGGTTGATTGAACACTTAACTAATTGCGAAGGAACTGTCAAAAAGGATACATTCTGTTCAATCAAACTGGATTTCTATTCTCACCTCCTACTTGATCCGCCCCATTGGTGACGACTTCACACTAGAAAGTGGGGAAGCGTCATCGAGAGACAAATCTCTAATGAGCACTATACAGTAATAGTCGCGAACGGACACCGATAAGGAAAATCACTGAAACCTAGGCAAGACTTGACAGCTCTTTCGTCCTACCATAGGTCTCCTCTGCAATGTGAACGCATAACCCTCCACCTGCCATGGCTCGAACCCTAGAACTTCACTCTTCATGGCCAGCACTTTAGCACTGAGACACTCAGTAAAATCCAACACTCCACACTTCTATTAATTAGCGATATTCTGTGACCTGTATCCAGCGGTTTCAATAATGAATAATTTTGCTGTGTAAACAATATTGGTAGAGCGAAAAAAATGGGCTCAAAATATCTTAGACCTACAGATTCAATTAGGCTAACGGCCTGTTTAAACTTTGGGCTACCAATGAAACCTTATATCAGACATAATATATGAAATTCCTCCCTTTGTATCTGTTTTAATCTCTCAAATATGCCCTTCAAAAGTATTACTTTTGAAGATTTTTAAAATGTTCTGGACAAATGGTAATAATGAAACGAAAAAATGTTATATTGGATAGAAATGGACTTTGAATACAAAAAAGCATATCATATTTCTATTCTTTGGACACTTCACATGTTAAAATTCAGAAAAGGCATAATAGCAAGCAAAGTTCAATTTTAATAGCGGAAAAATGCAGATCGGTTTAGATTAGTGAGTACAAGAGATTACAGAAATTTAACAAAAATGACTAAGTGTGTGTGAAGAGTTGAGTAACATTATGAAATATCTAATAAATTACCGACATCTTATCACAGTGGGTACAGAAGTAAGTAATAGTTGATAGTATGCAAGAATGAATTAGAAGAGGGGGTGTGCTTAGAACGACTGAAGATTATAGTCATGAAATGGACAGTGGTTCAACGGGTAGGTCTCTTTCATATCCCAAGCTCCACTTCTTTTGTTTGGATAAATAAAGCTTCAGGAATGCAGGCAAGGAGGACATGTACTCTGATGGTGCTATGTTATCTGAACTAAACGGTTTGGTCGTAAACCTGTCGTCGTCTTCCCAGACAACATCATCAGCACTAACTTTAGAACGAAGTGAGCAATAAAGTTTTCTACACAGTTAATTTAGTAGCTAAATGAAACATCAGTGGAATCATCTATACCAGAACTAACTGCAGAAGCAGTAATGCAATGACTGAAAATTGTCGTACTGCCATTGATCAAAGTAAAACTTTGGGTCCCATATATAGATGACACGCTGGTCATCATTAAAACAAATAAAATATATAAAAACGCTTATATATTAATCAACAATACTTTTGACGACAACATATTCACAATTGAAGAGGAATCAGATGACAAACTCCTGTTTTTGGATGTTTTAATTACTAGGACGGATTCCGGGGAATTGAAAACTGAAGTATACAGAAAACCGACTTTTATGGAACAAATAATCAGTTACAATAGCAACAGTACACAAAATCAGTAGTATAAAAATATTGTTCAAAAGAGTGAGGACACACTGTAGCCCATCAACCCCGAGGAGGAAAGAGAATAACTACATGATAGCTGTTTTCCAGAAATACAGTTATTCACGCAACTTCATCGAAAATTGCTTACATAATTCATCATCGACCAAGTAAACCAACAAAAGGACTGTCCTACTCTACATAAAGAAAACCTTTGAGCTCACAACTAAATTATTGAGGCCTTTTGGAATCACTGTATCTCACAAACCCACAAAATCTCTTCACTGTCTAATATGCAAACCAAAAGATGCAATAGCAAAGGAAGAAAAACCAAACAATATCTAGAAAAAACTTCAGAAACTGCAAAAGAAACACTATATTGGACAGAATAGTCGTCCTCTTACAATCCGTCTTTATGAATACCAACTAGCAGTGAAGCGTTATGACATATCTTCGCCTATATTAATGCATACAGACAACTGTGGACGTAGATTTCACTAAAGAATTGTGGTAATCCTGGATCGATGAAATGCAAAGAATGCCAGAGAATTTTAAGAAGCTTGGTACTCAGGGTAGTCAGCAGTCAACAAACATATTGACAGTGGCCCAATCTATCAACCAATAAGAGATAATAAGAAGGTCAAATTTCAGATTAAAATAAACATGGGGACAATGACAAGACCTTCGTAAAAACAACCAATCACACACAAAGCCATCAGGACAAGCTACTAAATAAATTGAGGAGAAAACCGTGTAGCTCCCTTCTTTCTGAAGACTGTTCTGATGATGCTGTCTAGAGTACACAAAACGATCAAAATTATCCACCTTAGCTACAAGCATTCTTCATCATCTCCACATGTACTATAACTTTAGCAAGTTTCCCTTCAGTTTGTAAAGGGGAGGTGTTGTTGAGACTGAATGACAGGTATTGACTAGGTGTTCCACTGTTTCACTACTTACAGATCCTCTGTTACCTTTTGTAGTCAAGTAGTATAATATTCTTGAGCTCTTTTGTATAGGACTTGCACCGAACGACTGATAAACACATCTCCGCGGGATTCTTTTAAGAACACAAGCTTCCTTATGGTTGCAGTAGACACACCTTGCTAATGAGGGCGAACAGCTAGGAAACTTAAATAGAGTTGGGCTTGCTGTCAACTTACTTCGGAAATTTGACGCAAAAATATGACAGATGTTTAGTTACTATAAGAGTCCAAATGAGCATATATCTACTCAATTTGTACAACTTTAGTCGTACACCATGTCCACGTGTTAGATACCTTAGTTAGCTGTATCAGAACTAAACTAAGATACTGACTCTTATAAGTAAGTCGGTATAGCATGAAAAGAGTGATGGTAATGATTAGGAAAACGTTGCCTGTGTCTGGCTACATATATATGTATAAAAAAGTGAAATATGGTGGATTAGAGTTGATCAATTTATATTGCTAAGCCTCTGAAGAGGCGAGATTTGAGGCGGGTAACCGTTTTATCAGCCGGAAAGTGGAACACTTGAATCTCATGTAGGCGTCATTCATCGGGTATTACTTCATTTACATTAGATGTCATTTTACTTGTGTGAAGACTTAACTGGTAATATTATTGCATAACTTGCTCTGTTCAGGAGCTTTCAACTGCTCTCTCCCTTTCATCCATCTATGTATGACGTATAGTAATTCGGAGATAATCGTTGTATGTTGAGTGAAATCAATTCGTTATCTTATCATTTGTTTCATTTTCTTTATAAATTATGGTGTTATGGTCAGGCAGGTAATTTAGTTGTGTACACATGCCTGAAGTACATACGAATAATAAGCACCAAACGTCTTGCTCTGTTGTTTGAGTTGGCAGAGGTCTAGTGAATTGCCTGACTGACCGTGTAGGTGGATTGAGTATACTAGAGTGGGGAAGTGCAGTGGAGATCAATCAAGTGCAAGGTCAGTCTATGATGAATACCAAGCTGTAGTCAGTAAATAAATCCCCCACAAACCTTCAAGCTAAAACACCCAGAATCTGTTGTTTGGTATTTTAATCCACCGCTACTTTACTAAGTCGCATCCCTCTACTCTTGTTGGCATATGGGCTCGAATGCGGATTCCTCTATGCTGCCCTATCATTCAGTATGTTGTAATCTGCTTGCTGACTAACAATGGAGTGAAGCACACATGTTTTGTGCTATTTGGGACTTATCACCTGTTTACACCTGCATCCCAGTAAGTGATGATGTTTTGAATGAGACTCGAACGTCAAAGAGTTATCTACAAGGCTATTAGATGGTTCTCTTGCTTAAGCGGTCTGGTGGCTAACGCTTTGGCTTTCGAAGCGATTGACATAGGGTTCAAATCTCAGCAGAAGGAGCCTCATTCATTAGGGGGCAACTACATCAAGCTGTTCAGTCTTAAATAAGAGGAAATACTCGTGTTGGATTCCACTACTAACCGCCAATGTCTATCTACCGATTGTGTATTGGTTTCAAATCACGTATTCAAAATAAAAGTTTATCGTTCACATACACATAAATGTGAAAGAAGTAATTAACTTTACCACTCATGGTCAATAATCATAAACAAGATTTTCGATTCACATATCGTCGTTCACTACCTCCCCCTGCCACCTCCGATCTCTTTTAATTTGTTTCTGATTTGTTTGTCGTTATACTACCCCCCTCTCTCCGTCTGTTATATGTGTACACCAGTGGCATAGAGATTGACAGATATCGAACAAAATGGGCTGCGATGACTGGTCGACAAACAGCTGATCATGTGCATACATATATATAAAGTGATATTTACCACATCTCTTACTACTCATTAACACTCTATTCAGTAGTATAAAGTATTTGACACAGATGCTATACTTAGTGTTACTAAGAAAAAATTTAACAAGTGAAAGAATTTTAAAAACGTTCAATCACCTTGAGTGTGTGTGTATGTAGGAATTTAACACTTAAATCATGAATAAATTAACAAACAATTATCATTATGGTTATGATCAGGAGACAGATAACGGCGAAAAGAAAACAGTTTCACCAAAACACAACAGGTAAACTTAGAATTTTTTAAAACTATTCTATCAATGTTATGCAGTTTTTATTTTTAAGTATTTGCTTGTTTTTTTGCATCAAAAGTATTGTTGTTTTAACTGTTTCGTCATACCATGAGACTCTTCAGCAATGTACACTCATGACAACCTCTGGGATGGAACCCATGAATTTTAAGTTCCGTGAAACGCAGGTTACCACCAAATCGATGAGTTTAATCGTTCATATTTCCCTACTAATATCGATCTCAGGATAGTATGACTTGGTTTACAACACAGGTCTCAATTTCTTATCAAAACTTGGCAAATCACTCACTAGTCAGCCTTAGATAGTAGTTCAGTTTGAAGGTTTATGGGGATTTTCTTGATCTTTATGTCAATATTCATCACAGACTGACATCAGTTGTCTGTTACTCACAGAAACCAATTAGACAATAAAGACTTCCGAATAACTAACGCTATCTGGTAAGAAAAAAATATTTTACACTTAAGTAACCTGATTGGATCAGAATTCAGTGGTTAACATTTCTGACAATGATTCTTGTCAACAATATTTCAGCTTTTTCTAGACTACAGATGAACACTACTCATAAGTAAATGGTGAAGATGAAATTCAATCAAAATACTTTAAGTTATACATTGATTAACAACTGAAATTTCTTTATATATTCAAAATATTATCAACAAATTGTATGAGTAGTGTTTTTACGATTTTCTAACTCAATTAGATTATAACAGACTACCACAGTTCATATGACTAAATTGGTATGTGAATAATCCTGAGGAAAATACAGGTGATAAATTATCATTTGTAGATTAACTAGTTAAATGGAATAGAAATGTAACTTTATCGATCTGTTGTAAATCAACATATTCAAATCGACAATTTGATTTCAACTCAGTGCTAAACATTCACTTGCTTGAGGGGCGGCGGGCAGGGCTAAAAAAACCCATCACAAATGAAGATGACAGACATACAGAAATAAAAAACGTAATAGATGCATTACATTCTAATAACTACTGCGACAATATCAATTAAAGGAATAAATACCATGAGTAGAAGAATCTAAAAGGGAAATCAAATGATTAAGTCTTCGGTTAATAGAATAATTTTACTCTTCTGCTAAGGTAAAAATGTAGACATACAAAGAATTTCTGGAAGGCATTAAATTAGTGCCTTCTAAAAGACAACCGAGTAATTCACAATGGGAAGTTCAGTGATGCCTTTCAAGTGAAGAAAGGAGTAAAATAAGGCTGTCTACTATCACCCTTGATATTCCTGATTGTGGTCGACTCGACTGGATCATGCAGCAAACAGTAGGCAGCGAGAAGAGGGGGATACACTGGACCGCGGAAAAGAACCTAGAAGATTTGGATTTCGCCGATGACTTGTGTCTCATGTCGCACAAACTTGAAAATCTACAGGCGAAAACTGACAAGTTGACAGAAGAGGCGAGGCTGGGCAATCAAGACGGACGCCATTCAAGTGAACGTAGAGAAGACAGATGTGATGAAGATACCCAACCAACACTACCAACAACAACAAGAAGCTGCAATCACTATCAGAGGGAGAAACTTAGAGGAAGTAACCTCTTTCACTTATCTAGGCAGCACTGTTTCAATTACAGGCGGCGGTGGCACAGATGAGGATGTCAAAGTCAGAATCGGAAAAGCAAGACAGGCGTTGATTAACCTGAAACTAGCGTGGAGATCTTCTGCACTCCACTCACCATGTGGAACAAGATCTGGATTTTCAACACCAACGTCAAATCAGTGCTTCTGTATGGTTGGCAGACTTGGCGCATTACGAAAGGGGTTTCCAATCAACTACAGATATTCATCAACAACTGCCACGTACGCTGGCTCGTTACTGAAGCTTAAATGGCCAGAAATAATAAGCAACAAGGAACTCTGGCTGGCTGACAAGGAACTAACGAAGCAAGAAGCTATCGCTCAACAAATATGCACTGGAAGGAAGTGGAGATGGATTAGGCATACACTGACAAAACCGATTGGGGACATCACGCGCCAGGCCAGTTGCTCGATTTGAAGCCAGATGGGAAACGACGAGTTGGGTGTCCGAGGCGATGGTGACATGGAGGAGATCGTGCGAGAAGGAAATGAGAGCTTGTGGTCGGTCGTGGAACGAGGTTGAAAAGATTGCAGAGAAGAGAGTGGAATGAAGATGTGTACTGAAGCTGTATGTTCCATTAGGAATAATAATAAACAAGACAACCAACAGTTTCAGAAATGCTTTAGTTCAACATGACAGATAAAATTTCGTTTACCTTCACATGGAATTGTTTTGATTGTGATACATATACTATTGAAATACTCATTTGTGTGTGTTAAACAACATACATGTCACACAAATAAAATCAGTAAATAGTCCTGTAGAAATTAAAAAAAACTGACAATTAATATTGGTAATTACTATTCATATCATCTACCATAATCAGTAAATTACTAGGTGAGACAGATAGCTGGCCTAATATACTCAACAGAAAAGAAGGCGTAAAACTATCCAATCAACCTCGACAAAATAACACGTTGTACCCAGTAATCATATCTAAATTACCTACACAAATAAATTAAGTGAATTCACGTCTTCACCTTGAACTAACGAGCTGGCAACTGATAAATAATGAGACATATATATATATATATATATATATATATATATATTAATTGTAATCATATATGTGAACTATGTGGTCTGATTTATCTGTCTGCATTTAACATTTAAACATGCAATATCTTGTACAAACTTTAATCTCCGAAGAAGTAACCTCCATGAGGTTATGAAACATCATATAATGATTATTTTTCTACTTCATTACAATTTTATAGATAGATTTCATTCATAACCTTATGAAAGGTTAACTTTTTCTACCTGAATGCATTTTGGAAACAATCATAAATCGAAGAGGTGCATTCATCTTATTCAGGAATTTCACATCAGTTAAATATACTTGCACTCTAGTGAGTTATGTCCTTCCCACTTAGACTATGACACAGGATCGATTGCTTCAAACACTAGAGTGATATCCACTAAGCTAATGAGTTATGAAACAACAGGCAAAACAGAGGCATCCTCATAACAGCCCATATGCCATCATTTCTGTCCAATCAACGATGCGAAACCTTAAGCAATAACATCAGTTATAAACCAGTTTACATTGAAATGATACAACTAATCTATTATGCCGATTTTACTGACTACCTCATAAAATGTGATTAGAAACAGCCCAATATTATAAGACTAATTCAGTTTTGAGGTTTATAGGAATTTATTTATTGATTTCAGGTTGGTTTTTGTCAGCAGTGCGCACCCATGACTCTGCTAGAGATTGAGTTGACGTTGCGCTATATCATGAACTGACATAGGAAGGAAATATGAACCGTTGGATTTTGACCCAGTGACTCACTCGTAGCGGGCCCGCCACTAGACCTTAAGCTGTTCAGTAAGATCCCTGGTTGGGTCATGTGTGCAAGGTTACTGAAGAGTCCCTTACTAAGACGAAACAGTGCTCCTTGGTTTTCAATGACTATGCAGCTGATCTAATTCCACCATGAATACACCGTTGAAATCAACCAGTCAATTTCTACGACTCTGTTATAACATAAACTTCCCAAAAGGAATAAATGAACAAATATGCATTTCAAAAAATTGAATCGTTGAATGAACTTTTTCTTAAGGTGGGAAATTGAACACTTCAACATTATGACTTAAAACACTCACTGGAAATTTTCGATTTTGTTTTATAACTGAGTATGCATTCATCAGTGTTGTGTTTATCTGAAGTAGAGATAAAGTGTATCATCTCTGATTTTTGTGTTGTAACTACAATATCGAATGATTCCTAAGCCTCTCTGTGTATTTTAATACTCTACAACAAACGCTTAAGAGGTATCCCGTGCCCACTAATAGGATCCACAGTTCGAAATACTTCATTTCTTTGAAAGCATCACTGATATAATTAAAAGCTCACTTTTACAACTTAGCCAAAATTATTTTTATAACTTGCTTGAAGATGGTTAGAAGTGGAATCTAGTCACCGGGTTTCGTCCTATTTGGGACTCATCAGCTGGATAAACTTGTATCCCAGTGAGTGATGTTGTTTCCAATGAAACTTGAACCGCGTACTCACCGCTCCAAACGCTGAGGACAGTAGGGCATGAGGGACACCGCTTGTATGACGGATATGAGTTATTATTATTTGTTGATGTCTGCACCTTCGTGTTCTTATTCTGGAGTGAATTGGTTGACCTCTGTTGACATTTGGGTCAGAATATTCATTGATATAATTTGCTTCTTAAGTGGCATATTGTGAAATTTTATTTCGTTCTATTTTTGTGTTTTTAAAAAATACTTAGATCGTCTTCCTCTCTTCCAATTCAATCAACTTTAGGTAAGTGTTTTCTCATCATTGATATTTGTTATACTGGATTAAATTTATCAAATTGTGTTGGCACATGTTCTCTGTTTGAGAACCATTACTCTCTGGAATTCAAGTATATTCAAGTGATTGGTCTAAGCTGGAAGGAACACACCACTCGAATCCCATCACCAGCCAATTATCAAGCAAATTACAACATTAGGGCTTTTATTCTTTTGCATAACAAAAGTTTTGTAAAACCTCATAATGTAATATATCGTAAACGTTAGTTTCTAACTTTTATATCATAGTTGAATTGTCAGAAATTGACTTCTTGAAAAAGAACACAGTATTTTAAGGTCTTCTGAAGACTTTGGTCACTTACAAAATAGGTTAGAATAGGGTAAGGGGTATTTAACGGCTAAAACCAGTCTACACCAAGTGTTGCTGAGTACCCCATAAGTGGCTAACTATCCTAACCATCAATTTAGTTTCGCCAATGTGTCATAGCTGTAGAAAATCCGGTTTTCAAATCAGTTTTGTTGTGAATAACAGCGGCGATATTAAAAATATGAATCTACGATGAATAAAACTGACAGTTTTAGCGAAACTTACTACTACTGAACAACGTGAGTAGTTAGAAACCAATAACTCTGGCGGATCTGTAGTATTTCGCCAACCAGGCGGCCGTTTCTTTCATTTGGCGCTAAGCCAGCTCACAAGCGGTGTACCCGGATAAATTCACTTCATATAGCCGAATTAGTTCAGATCACCTGAATCTCTGTGGCTAGTTGACTTGCATCGACCGATACACCATCTAAAATGGGATGAGAACTTTGCAAATGATGCATAAATTGAACGGTCCACCTTCACATTTCTTATTGCTGAGTAGCTTTGCTGGAAATCACTCGGTTGAGACCAAAGGGTGTGGTCTCTGAGACCTTAAAGTGTCATAAAATAGAGAAACAGACTATTATTATTACTATTACCACTACTACTACTACTACTACTACTACTACTACTACTACTACTACTACTACTACTGAACAACCTGAGTAATTTGAAACGACTTAGGCTGGGCTCGGCCTCGAACGAGAGAAACAGCTGTTCGGTGATAAGATCACTCTAATCTCGCTGGTTGAGGAAATGCTACAGATCAGCCTGGGTGGTTTGTAAAACCACTCAAGTCTTTCAGCAGTAGTATCTTTCGGTGACTTATGACATTTACATTGGAGATGACATCTTGTTATCTTGGTTATCAGATGCTCTCCAATCGAAACCATGTTGGCATAACAGTTGAGAAACTACTCAGCTGTGAGAAACCTGTCAACATGGATCTAACGATTTGTAAGTCATTTACAAATTGATCATCCTGCAACATACTCTTACTCCCCTCCTAATTTAAAACTTTTTATGAAATTATTCCAATTTTTTGAATTATCTATAGATTATTTAGTTCTATGCTTAACTTGTTCATTTTTTTGATACTTTGGAGTTTCATAGGGATTTACTAGTTGGAAGATAGTAGTCCTCGAGGTTTTTTATTAGTTACGGAATCAATAAAAACCCTAAAACATCGGAAAGGTGTTTCGTTCTAGCAGGGGACTCCTCAGCAGTCCACATGCATGACCCCAAAAGAGATCGAACCCTGAAGAATTCCACATTGTATTACAATGAATGCATTGAAAATTTCCAGTTATCCACGACTGCATTCAACAGATTGTGCAGACAGGACTCTTCGTCTAGTTCATTCTTCAGTTGATAAATAGAAAAAGAAAATATTAGTTTTTCAGACCCAGCTGATGCCCATACAGCTGAAGGTGGGCTAGGTAAATCGAAAACAATTAAAATTACCCAATAAAAATAACCATACATAATAAAATTACTTAAGACGTAGTAGGAAAAATTTGTAGTTGAGGAAGTTAATTGTTCGCGGTTGGTTCTTCAGTGTTTTATGGTTGGCCTAGGGGACTTCATAAGCCTCTACTTGAAATATTGCACGAATGATTTTAGCTTGATTGAATTCCCTTTGACTGATCCCTTCTTTGAAGTCCGTTAATTAAGTCAATGTCAACATGTCTGCTGATAACTCATTTGACTGGAATACCGTGCTTCTTCTAGGAACTCTCAGTTTTTCAGTTTGTTTATGATAGTATTTTCACGTCGAGGCTTTGGTTGTGCTCATCTACATGTACTGACATCATCAGGATATATCATTTTGTTTGACTACAAGTTAGTGCTCATAAATGCTTCGGCCTATTCGATGATTAGATTGGCCAACATAATGAGAAATCCAAAAGTTCTTGTCGATGTAATGTCTCACTGATGACGATATCCATTAAGACAATGAAATGTTTACAAACCAATGAATAACTCCCTTGTTCATCTTATTCCTGGGTTAAAAACGACTGTCTCCGTGGTTATTAGAATATAAGCCGCAACTAGTATGGAGGCTTCGTTCATGTGTGACAGTTTATTAACGACAGAGTAGGTTAGGGAGTACCATATTCACTGAATATCAGAACAGTTAAGCGGGAATTGTTCTAAACTATAACCGAAATATTCACTAGGGTTGTTTTCAGTCAGCTAGTATGAACATTAAACTTGATATTACAGTGTAACAGTTGAAGTTATCACTCCTAACATCTTCACACCACGGTAGAAAACAGTGAAATGGGGTATAAAAGTGTTAATCGGAAGTCCTTGGACGTTATGAGTGAGTGACTGACTGACTGAGGAAACCAACGTAGAACCTCGTACACAGTTGCATTGACTCAGGTTACCACATTTGATAGTAGTTCACAAAGAAGAAGAATGAGAGTGATATCGAAGTAGAAAAAAGTTATGTGTAAGAGTAAACAATTTGAAGATGTAGGTTATTGCAAATATTCAAAGATTGAATACATCTGCGCAATTGTAACTAACTTCCAGTCACATCAGCAAGAGTTTCAAATCATTTTATTCCCATTATCTCATGGACTCTAGTCAGGTAGTCTACATATCTCCACACGGCTTCGACCTACACTCGCAGACTTTATCAACTGGTGTCACGTCATCGTTTGACCCGCCCGAAATCTCTTCCAACCTAATCCAACTTTCTGTAACACATCCCAGTCATCTCAGTCGACTAAGGTAGGTTTAAAATCTCATCATTTGACTTGCCTGTCATGCCTAGTACCCTTCGCTTGATGACAACATCACTTAGAGGATGGTTCCACTGAAAACGAGCAATTCTAAAAAGACATGTATGATTAAAACCATGTACTCGCCTTACATCTTCCACTTTTAACTGCCATACCTCACGTCATGACAAGGAAGAAGGGATAAAACAATAAGGAAAGGAGATAAAAGTCGATTCGGTTGAAGATAAAGTATGCATGCGTCTGCACTAGTGAGACTGATTTTAGACAATTTCATTTAGAGTTCCCAATAATTATTCTCGTTCATCGCGCAATCCCTAAACTAGGATGCCTACATTCATCTATACACTTCAGACCAGCAGTCAGAGACAACATGAACTTATTAATGTTTGTCTTTTGGGTTCCTAGTGGAACATAGGGCTTCAGTAACACATCGCCATTTCATTCTCTTCTCTGCAGTCTTTTCAACCTGACTCCGCTACTGCGCACAAGCTTTCATTTCTTCTTCACACCATCTCCCCTCATATCACCCTCGCACACCCAACTCGTCGTTTCCCATTTGGCTCCCACTCGGCGACCTGGCCTGGCGCGTCATGTCACCAATCGGTCTTCTCAGTGTATGCCCAATTAAATCCATCTCCACTTTCTTATACTCCATATTTGTTGGGTAATGGGTTCTTGATTGGTTCGTTGCCAGCCAGCCAGAGTTCCTTGTTGCTTATTCTTATTATTCTGGCCATCTAATCTTTATTATCCAGCATAGGCAGCTGTTGATGAATGTCTGTAGTTTGTTGGGAATGTTTTCGTCAACGTGCCAACTCTCTGAACCATATAGAAACACTAACTTGTCTGAGTTAGTGTTGAAAATCCGCATCTTGTTCACGCTCTATGCTGAGTGCAGTGCAGTGAATCTCTACACTGATTTCAGATTAATGAAAGCCTGTCTTGCTGTCTTTCCCATCCTGGTTTTGACATCCTCGTTTATGCCGCCTGTAGTTGAAACGATGCTGTCCAGCCCAAGTAGGTGGAAGAGATTACTTCCTTTAGGTTTCTCCTGTTGATTGTGATCGGTGCTTGTTGTTCGTGGCATTGGTTGGGTATCTTCATCACCTCCGTCTTCGCTAAGTCCACTTGAATTTTCATCTTTGCTGCCCTACCTCTTCTGTCAACTTGTTGGTTTCCGCCTGCAGATTTTCGAGTTTGTGTAACATTAGACATAAATCATGATCGGCGAAATCCAAACCTCCTGGGGTCTATTTTAATCGGTCAAGCCACGTATGCTCCTCTTCTCGCTCCTCACAGTTTGTTGCATGATGCAGCCGAGTCCAGTCGACCACAATCAGGAAGATGATCGATGATAGTAGACAGCCTTGCCTTATTCATCTTGTTTAGATCTAAGCGCTATGAGAATCCTATTCATCATTTTATAATGTGGCCACCAAGTTAGAAGGCTCACCACCATGGTAAACTTCGGTGGATACTGGTTGGAAGATCAAACAGGTCGGCTAGCTGACGATAAACAACAGACAAATCATGGAATGATAAAATAAATGTTGAGCTCAGTTGGCAGAAAGATTGTCAGAATTGTGTACGAACAGAAAAAAAGTCCATTAAAGAAGATGATGTCACCAAATAACAGAAAGAAGTAAATGTTAGGTCAATCGACCAAAGAAAGACTTATCATAGCTTTCTTTGTGAACACGCAACTCCAGTTTCAGTCATTTGAATGCTTCGGCCATAGCGAACTTGAGAAGCTTTGAATTAAGCTGTTTGTTGATTACTTTGAAGACATCTAAGGTATCTACTTAATAACCTGTGTTGATAGAACGCTGAGTGACTGTACTACTGAGAGCATTTGTTCCCCTGAGACACGGGTTTCTCGGCACATGAACT